GCTGTTGTACCTTTCCAGGCTGCTGCTGCCTAGCCTAGCAGCATGTCCCTCTCAGCCAGCCACTCATAGCTGCAGGGCAACCATTAGACACAGGAGGAATCTGGTAGTAGTGGCAGAGAGAAAATTAAAAGACACACCTGTATGAAACCAGTTTTCAGTATTTCAATTGCTCTTAAAGAAATTGTTTTTAAAAAACTCATTAAGAAAACTTCTTAGTCTGTTTGAAACACGCTGGGTTTTATCTCAGTGTGTCCTGTTTTCACTGTAATAAAAAAGCAAAAAATGTTTCTGTATATTGTACTAAATAATCATTAAATAATGTGTCTGAAGAGAGGCATAAGAATACAGATCCTAAGACCTCATGTCTGGCCTAAAATTCACCCTTTCTGTGAGCCCAATGAATGTTTGTGGGTGTATGTTTGTGCTTCCAAAATGACACAGGTACAACTGTAACCATAATATTCCTGGCTACATAGAAGCCATAAGTATCAACTCTTTCAGTGAGAATTTCACAGTTAGTTCCTACTCACTAATTCAGTTTGCCTGAAGCCTTTTAAAAAGTCCTGTGCTCTGCTTCAGCAGCCTTTTCCTGCTCTTTCTTCTTGGGTCCTATCCTCCCATTAGCCCACTAACATCATTTGCAGACACTTACCCTCTCTTGCCTTTACCTCCTGCCCTGTTATTTTGTATTCCTTTTCTCAGCAATTCTCTCTTCAACATGTCTTGCTGGTGTGACCTCACAATTAAATTGACATAAAACTGCTTACATACAGAGCAACAAAAGGGGTTCCACCTGTTGTTCTGCTACAGCTTTGAAACAATACTAACAAACAGAAAGAATGTCTTTTTAGTCAATGCAAGTTGTACTATTTTGCTACTATGGGATGTATCAAATCAGTGGCTTCTATTGATTTCATTGAGTTTCTGAAGTACTTCTCTTACCTTTCTCTAGGTGCCATATAATTTCTATTTTTAATTGTTATTTTAATCCATTTTATATTACTGCTACAAAAAATAAATCTTGCCACACCACAATTTGTTGATCACCCTTTTAGTTTTTTTTTAAAAGATCAACAGATTTTGTACATTTTAATCCTCAGACATAGTAACTGATCTTAATGACTGCATATTTTTAACAGTTCATTTACCTCATTTTCACATTCTGTAAGAACACTTGACACCACCATTTAGTTAGATGCTTCCTGCTCTTTAAGAATATCACCACTGACACCTTATACACACCCACATCTCATCTTTGTTACAAAAAAAAAAGGTTGACCTGAGGAAATGTCTTCATTTTATATGAGTATTAGAGTACAGAAATATTTCTCTGCAGTACTTTTTGGTTTATAGTTATGACTAAATAATAGGTTGGACAGTTTTGTCATGGCTTCCTCACACAGGTAAAGTACACGTTTGTTTATTAGCAGGTAATTAATTGTCTTATATATGGATTCTTTGTTCCTCAAATTTGCTCTTTGGCCTTTCTAATTTTACTTCTTTCTATTGTTCTCAAGCTGATTGGATTTGGGCTTTCCAAATGACACATTTTAGGCTCAAATAACTTAAATACTGAACCTTGACATTTAACTATATTGATCTTTTCCTTGCCTTCCTATTTTCTTTTAGTTGTTTAGGGATTATTTGTTCTGAGACTTCTGTGCTATGCTTAAACACCCTCCACACCAAGACAATAGATTTTCATTTCAACACTTCTGACTGAGGGTATTTCTTATTTATTTCCTTTTTTATTTTTTGAAAGAAGAATGGTTTACCTGTCATTCTAAAGATAGAATAATAAAGTACTGCATTTTATCATTAACACTTCACAAAAAAAGACTGAATACTGTTGTTATGTTTTCAATAAATTTAAAAAATGTTTGGCGATGTGTTCTGTTACTACTTGTTATTTAGGTTAACATCAAACTATAACTTCCAATAAACAAACAAAATATTGAAAAGTAGCATTCCAAAGCATAATTGAACTCCATACATAGTTGTTAGGGCTGTTACACTGGACTTTGCTCCTCTGTTGAGCTTCTCCTACACAGAGTATTTGATGTGCTTTTACTGATTTGGCAGACAGTACAAGTCCTTTACATGTGTATTTCTATAATTAAGGATTTGTGATTTTTCTATGTATTAGCCTCTCCACAGACCAGCTTTCTGTCCAAGCTGTTAATAAGCACTTTTTTATTTTATTTTCTTTTTCATTTGTTTTTTCAGCAACAAATACGAACTATATATTCCACATATATTGACATGGCATAACATATAGGTATTATTTGCATTCACTTGCATTACCATCATACATTTAATTTCCAACTTCTTTGTGAAAAATACAACGACTTCTGATGAATGATAAATATGAAATTATGATGCCAGTATAAGCTATCAAATATGTAATGTGTGCTAAAAATTTGACAAAAAAAAGTATTATAGATATACTGTAAAATCATCAAACTAATAAAATATTCATTACTTGCACAGGTGGATTAAAATCAATAAATGCCGATTTGTTGTTACAAACTGTCTGATGTAACAAACATCAGCCTGGCAGAGGCATATATTCATATGCAAGCACTATTTTTTAATGTGTATTTTTCCAGTTAGGCATCTAAGTTTCTATTGGGTTTAAGAGCCACAATTTGTAAAGATGGCATGATGGCATGATTTCCAAGAAATCATTAGAAATAATTAATAAATCAGCCATACCTGAGAATGAGTATGCAGCTCTGCTGAACTTAGTACCACAAAAATCAAAGTGACTTGTAGAGCAATTTATCATTATCACCTGGCACTCAGTTGGAAGATCCAGTGCTAGTGTTTCAGATTTTATTTTTCCTCTAAGTATTCCATGCATGTTGTTGGTATCAATGGATTGTTGTAAGCTGCAAGATGTTTGATAAAACAGACAGATTTTACAAGCAAAGACTCCAGTTACTTGTATAAAGGGTTATATATTTTTTTTCTCTTAATTCTGAGTCCCAAGTACTTGTTTTACAAACTGCAGAGTGCCCTCAATTGTATTGAATTCATTGTGGAGTCAGAGTATTTATTGTGTAATGCTGAGTCATATAAAAAAAAACGTACTCACTAGGCTGGAGAGAAAAAAAAAAAAGTGATGAAGACACTAAACTCGTAAAAAAAAAAAAAAAAACAAAGGAGGAAAATTCATCCTGGGCTTTGAGAGGCTGTTTTTTTAAACTAAACATGAGAAACATTGTCAGAAATATATTACATATTATATGCCACCATAATACAAACCATTTTATGTTTTTTTTACTCCTGCTGGTGTTCTCATGCTCTGAAAGGAAACTAGTGTTACCACACAGGTACACACCTGGGCACAGTGTATGGCCCACAGTATGCATGCGCACAGGTACACACACACACCCCCCCCACAGGACGCACGCACACGGGATATACCCCAAGTGCAGCAGTATCTCTGGCACGCTAGAGGGAGCCCTTACATAATTGCAGTGACCCTTCTGCCTCCCCCCTCCTCAATTAGCAGAACTGGCGTGGAAAAATCACTGGACATCCTGAGACATCCTAAAGGTTTGGCATAAGCTGCAGAATAAGGAAAGGAACGCAGAGAACTCAAGCTGCAGTCAACCGAGGTCTCCTGATAGCTCAGGGGCTTACGCTGATGTTTGTTCCACTTTTAATACTGCGCTGCTTTTATAGGGAACTTCTCCAAATACGTGACTTAGCGAAACACGCCAAATTCCCTCAGCCAATCTGAAGCCCTCATGCAGAAAGCAAAGCCCATTTTGTAAACATATCCTTTATTTCATCTGTCCGTCGCCCTCACACAGAAAGTTGGCTCAGCTGAGAGTAGTGGTTTTCTGTTGCCACTAATGTATGTACAGTTTATTTATACACTGCATTTTAACACGGCATTAGTTCTATAACGGTTACCAGCAGACTCGCTCTGGATGGAAAACTATCTGTTTCACAGCTACAAAGAGGTCCTCAGGACGAGAAGATGGGTCTGGAAAGAACACTCATTTGAATTTATAAATCCGCAAGACTTTTTCCAAGTCATATTATATTTATGGACATAATAACTCAGGGCTGAAGGTTATTCTATTGAGCAAGGCAAACGAGCAGTTGCCTTAACTGTCTCTTTTAAGAGACGCTCCTAAAATAATTCAAGAGCGACTTTTAACTGTTCTAGTGTTTATTTTCTTCATTTTTTTTTAAATATATTTTTCTCTTTTTTTTTTCCTTTTTCTTTTCTTTAAATGATTCTTGCTACTTACACGCTCGTCACAAATGGCAGCTTCATTTCCGCACGCACGGGTCGAGACCGGCAATCCGAGCACGCACCTTTCCAGCCCCAGTCCTCCCCCCGCCACCGCCGCCCCGGCCGGAGCCTCCCCTGCGCCGGGGCGGGGGCGGCGCTGCCGCGGCCCCGGGCCCCGCTCCCGGCACGGGGCGCGCTCCCGCCCTCGGCAGCTGCCCCTCGGCGGGCGAGTCGCGCTCGGGCGGCTCCCGGGGCCGGGGCGGCGGGTGCCCCCCACCCACAGCGCCCTTCTCTCGGCCCGGCGGTCGCCGGGGGAGCCTGCGGCGGAGTCAAGTCCTCGCCCTCGCAGTGCTTTGGGAGAGCTCGGGGGCGTCGCGTCCCCACTGCTTCCCCCCCCGTCAACGCGGAGGACTTGTTAACGTGTCTTACAGATAAATAAATAAGGGGGGCGGGGCGGCCGGGCCAGGGGGCGGCCGGGCCAGGGGGCGGCCGGGCCAGGGGGCGGCGGGGGCCGGGTCCGGGGCCGGGGCCGGGGTCGCGGCGCTGCGGCGCGCGAGCGGCCAGACACCGCAACCCGCGCGAGCCGCTCGCGCGCCCCGCGTCCCCCTCGGAGCCGATCTAATCAATGACACCCAGCGCCCGCCGCGGCCCCGCCCCCCGCCTCCTCCCATTGGCCGGGCCGCGCCGGCGCCGCCGCCGCCCATTGGCTGGCGGGGAATCCGTATCAATGTTTAAGCCGCGGCGTGAGGTGAATAGAGGCAGTCGGAGAGCGGCGCTGGGCGAGCGCGGCGCGGCGGCCCCGCGAGTGCTGCAGTGAGGGAGGCGAGGAGGGGGGAGAGAGGGAGAGAGAGAGAGAGAGAGAGCGAGCGCGGCTCCAACTGTTGAATTTTCACTGAATTCTCCACTTACCTGCGGGCGGCTGGTGAAATGGATCTGGTTTATCGGGGATCGGCGTTCGCTCCGCGTGCTGCCTGGCTAAGACTGGCGACCGTCTGTTTGCGAGGGGCCACCCATCAATGAGGCAGAGAAGAATAATTGTTTTTTCTTCTTTTGCGTTTGAAAGCCTCCCTGCCACACGTTGCAGAATTAACTGTGTACTTTGGGTCCGGACTCAAATAAAGGAGAAAAAACAGTGCAGAACTGAGACTCGGAACTAGATCTGTGAGCTATGTATTGGAAACCTATGTTTTTATTGCCTTTTTTTTTTTTTTTTTCTTTTTTTGTGAAAGATCTCTGATTTATTTCACACATAACACTGAGGAAAGGTGGTTAAAAACACTCAGCAAAGCAGGAGACAGACGCGCCTCTGTGCCAGTGAGTGGATAACAGCCTTGTTTTCCTGATCCTCAGTCTCCCGGAGAAAGAGGTATAGTAAAAGTGTAGCTGGATCTGACACCCCCACCTTCTCCTGTTTTTTTTTTTTTTTTTCCTTCTTTCTTCCCTCCTTCCTCTCCAAAATATAAATCTGATTAATTTCTTTCCTGTCTATAGAGTGAGTCAGAGAAGCATTAGGAAGAAGCTGTAACTAATGCCTATGAAGGGAGGAACATGAGGAGATAGTGAATGTGATTTGTTCCGCTGGATCTGACTCATCCAAGCAGATTGAAACACCTGCATTTCTGGATTTGCCATTCATTTATTTCAGGTTGTTAAAAGAACCTGAAATAATATTTTGCTACCCTTCCCCAGTATTTACCTATACACCATATCACTAGGAAAGGTGTGTATCAGAGAGGGGGAACGCATCTGGCATTGCTGCCGCTCTTCTCCTCTGTACCACGATGCTCAGAGAGACTGTTAAAGCTTTGAAAGGACTGTAAAAAATGCATCACTCTTTTCGTGGAACTGCATAGGTTTTAATATAAGCGAATTAATCGATTAAAAGATCTCCTACTTTCTTTATCACCAGGATTGTTTTTCCTCCTCACTCACCTCTCCTAAATGAAGAGAGCTAGGCGGCAGTGTCATTGGAAGGAGACGCTGAATAGAAAGAAAAGAGAGGCACTTGATAGCGCAGCCCTGTGAATAAAGGGACTGTTTCCCTTTTAGCGAGAGACTAAGAAAGAGAGAGAGTGTGTAGAGAGTGTGTGTGTGTGGTGGCTTTTCTTTCTCCCCCCCCCCCCCCCCCCCCCCCCCCCCCCCCCCCCCCCCTCCCTCTTTTTTTTTTTTTTTTTTTTTTAATCTATGCGTCCAGCCATGGGTTGCCTGTTGCTTTCCTCTCGGCTGGAGAGAAAAGCAAACTGGAATTAAACTGCATCGAGAAAAGTGCAGCTCCTCAGACACGCATACGCACACACGCATAGATACACGGAGAGAAAGGATGTGGTGGTGGCGGCGGCTACTGGCCTGTCTTAAAGAAACCGAACTGTGTTGCTGATTGAGCACGGTCTGAGCTTTCTCTCAAAATATATATTTACTGCTAGTGATGAAGGTCTGATGGTGGGTTTCTTAATTTTTTCACCCCAAAAGGACGGGTGGGAGGCTGGTAGTAGAGGGGGAGAAAGGAAGCTATAAATCCGAACACTAGTTTTTGCGGGCGGGGGCGGAGTGGTTTGGGGTTTGGGCTTTTTTTTAATGTGTTTTGTTTTCCCCTTTTGCCCTGCAATCCTCATTCCCTCTCCCTCTGATTCGGGAAGGAAACGGTGACCCAGGGTGTACGAGACAGAGAGGGGGGAAATACCGACAGCAGCGAGATGCAGCTCTCCGCCGCAAGCAATGCAAGATTAGATCTCTAAATGCAGCAAAACACTCCCTGAAAACCAACAACCCCGCGGTGCAATCAGACATTTCACTGCCGCTCACTGCACACGAAGAGGGCTTCAACAACAAGCTGAGACTTTTTTTTCCCTTCAGTCTCTCTTCTACCCCTCCACTCCATCAATCGTATTACAAGCGATGAGTAGCAAATAAGCTTTTTTACCTCTGCTACAGACCTGTGACCATCCCCTTCTCCTATGTATATATAAATACACACATTTAAGAAATATTTCTGATCGTTTTTAGAACAAGAACCACAGCCGCCGTTTTTTTATTATTGTTATTTTTTTTATTATTATTCTTTGTACATCTGCGGGGATTCAAAGATCGGAAACACATCGCCTGCCCGGAGGAGAAGATCTTTTGCAAATTTTCTGATTTTTGAAACCCTTCCACTGCCGAAGTTGGACAGACGAAGTAACTGCGAGGGGACTGCAAGCACGGCAAGCTCTTGCTGAAAGGCTGCCGAAGC